TCAGTCAATGATCGAATGCACGAAAAATTTTTTTTCAATTTTTAAAAATCAATGAACTACGAAGAAATTAGTCAATGCATGAGTCTATGAAAAGATCAGTCAATGATCGAATGCACGAAAAATTTTTTTTCAATTTTTAAAAATCAATGAACTACGAAGAAATTAGTCAATGCATGAGTCTAGGAAAAGTTCAGTCAATGATCATTGATAATAGCTAGTACCGCTAGATGGCAGCACATAGCTTACAGTCGGTAAGATAAAGAAATAATAGCTAGAACCGCTAGATGGCGGCACATAATTTACAGTCGGTAAAATGAAGTAATAGTTGGTACTGCTAGATGGCGACACATCCTCGATCATTGACTAATTTCTTCGTAGTTCATTGATTTTCATAAATTGAAAAAAGAAATTTTCGTACATTCGATCATTGACTAATTTCTTCATAGACTTATTGAAATTTTAAAAAATCAAATTTTTAATAATAATCGATGTCATTTTACTTCTAACACGTGTGATCTGCATACATGATATTTTTTAATGCAATTTAAAAATAAGAGTTGAGTGTAATATGTAATAATAATTTATATAATAATATACATATTAACATATATTTTTACTTACAATTCTGGCACAATGTATAGCTTCACCTTTGACTGGTCCTTCCTTAATACTATATCCCATGTCTTCGTGATAAATTCCAGAACTTAATTCTATTTTAATTATTGTATGACATCCAACAATATAAACACCCCAGGCAGAATCAACAAAATCTGAAAATGAGACATGAAATCTAATTCATCTATCTCTGTTTATTCTCTTTCATATATTTTACTGTGAAATGTATAATATTATACAGATATACCTAATGTTTGATTACAGACAGAATAACTCCATTTTTCTTCTCCAAATATTTCATTTGCTGCTGACAATAATGCATCGTTCACACATTTTATCCTCTGTAATTGTGTAACTAATGGAAGATTATCTTTTATTTGATGTTGTATAGTTTTATGATCTGGTTTTGCATTTGGCTAAAAAAAAAATATATTAAAATTTTAACATACATTAAATTTAATGTATGTTAAATACAAGATATTATTTTATATATATATATATATATATATATATATATAGATATTATTTAAATACAAGATATTATTTTATCTAAAGTATATTTATTTAGAAAAAGTACTATACTAATTACTTACTATTTTAATACATGATGGATAATCATTCGTATTGTTTGACATTTCTTTGAATAACTTTTGTTTATTTTGGAATGATATCTCCAAATTCAAAGATGTTTGTTTACTTAAATGATAAAGAAGAAACTGTTGCAACTAACGCATCTGACGACAGTTAAGAGAACTAACACGTTTGTTTGACATATGTCATGAGATGTTAGGTTAGAATTTGTTACACTCGTTACAGTGTATCGTTTTTATTAATAATTTCTTTCAAATTTAATTAATTTAACGTAATAATTAATGTTAAATCAATATGTTTGGAAATAAGAAACAAAGTTTACCACCTAGACCTAATTTTCCAAATCCTGAACATATATTAGAAGATCTTTCCAATGCATCAGCTGATGATGTTGCATTTAAAGTTATGAATGAAGGTATATTATTGAATGAATACAAAATTACTACTATTATAATATTATTATAAATAATTATATAAAATATGTTTCTTTTATTATGATTTTAATAAATGTTCGAGGTTATAAAAATAATTTTTCAGACAACATTCAAACAGAAAATGTATATATTTTGACCGATCACAATAATTCTGAGGATATTTACAAAAAAGTAAAAATTTATTTAAACGTTAAAGAACAATTGAAACAATTGGAAATTATATTAAAGAGAGAACAGGAACAATTGGAAAAAGATAACGAAGAGATAAGAGCACTTGCTGATAGTATCAGAAAACAGGCACAAGCTGCTCTTATAACGTGACATATATATATACATATATATATATATATCTTGTCAATTAATAAAATTAATTTACAAATGAAGGATTATGTTTCATCGTGTATATTATATATATATATAAATGTTATTTTTAATTATATAATTAAAAATTATATTTTCATCTAAGCGTCAAATAATGTAAGCCGTGATTTATTGTATACAGAAATGTAAATCATTTACAACATAGCATAGTTGTAAATATTCTAACTATAAAATTGTAAAGGAAACTATGACTGATTATTATAAATTGTGTGTATTCGTATTTAGATATAATATCACCGATAAATATTGTTGTGCAATTATTTTAAGTAAGGCACAATTTTTGTTCCTTTTAATATCTATGAAAACCATTGATAAGTAGTATCTCTTATTAAGATTTAAAATATTATTCATATATCTGTTTCGAATAATCGTTAATCCTATCAATTTCATTTACATAGATTATTTCTTATCGTATTGTACAGATTTTGATATGGCTGTTAATTGTATTAGATAAAATTCTTAGTAAATTTAAAATTTTCATGATCTTTTTTGTTTTATACTTTTTTTTCTTTTTCTGTTATCTTTCTAATATAAATTAAACTTATTTTACCAAATAAAAAATATTTATACGTCTTTAATATTGTTTTTGTAAAATTATTATATTCGTCGTATTTTATAGATCTTTCTATCTCTTTTATGATTATTTCTTATCAAGTGCAACCTTTAAATGCTTATCATCATTGTAACATAATATAAACTATTAATAGTTTTATCACACTTTCTATATTAAAATATGAAGAATTATTTGAATAGTGCACAATATTTTATCTTCAATAGTGCACAAATCTTAATCTCTTCTATCTATTAAATCTTTTTATATAATACTTAGTTTTGAAATATCTTCAAATCGTGTTCTTATAATATCATGCGAATTCATTTTAGTGCTTGTATACCTTATTTAAATATGTCAATTGGAATGTATATTTATATAATTATATATATATATATATAAATAATAAACATAAAAAGAGAAATCAGTAAGCTGGTATCGTATCAAATCGAACCATAGGATCATTGAAATAAGCACACCATGTAAAACCAGGTGGATATCCTGAAAAAGTCATGCATAAGTTTATATTAGTTTTATACACACCAAACGATATCACGTAAGTAAATTAAAATCATAATAAATGAGATCAAACAAATGATAAATTATTAATAAATCGTTTGTCGACATAATTAATGTCAATTGAATTATTAATGAATTTTTTTAAGATCTGTCTTATTTATCTTTAAAGCCAAAAGTAAGAAATAAATAGAGAAATGAATAAAATTGTTAGATGTATAAAATAATAGGAAGAATTGTTTAATATGGATTGATAATTTATCATGCAACATATATATATAGACATGATTAGCACATAATATATGCAATACTTACTTAGTATCATACATTTTATAATTTTGATTAAGTTTCGATTCAATGACGAGATATAACGGGAAGTTCCAACACCTTTTGTCCGGCTGCATGCAGGGGAGATAATTAATTAGTTATATTTGTTAATTAAAGCACAGGATTGTTTCATTTCTTTTTCTTTTTTTTAAAGCAAATATTATATAAATAAATAAATATGCACAGATAATGATTAGTCATTTGAAAAAGATATGTATATACATATACATTATTATTATTATTATTATTATTATAGGCTGTGTTAAAAATGAAATATATTTAGCTTATTTAAACATTCAATATAATAATATATTTTGTTTTTTTTTTTTTTTTTTTTTTTTTTTTTTTTTTTATGTAGGAATACAATAAAGCATAGAAGAAGAAACACACACGCGTAGATATTTTGTCAAATATAAAACACGCGCAAGTAAAATGTTATAAATATATTTATATATAGTATATAATATATAATCAAATTATAGGAAGTAATCTTTCAACTTTTACATAACACAAAATCTTTATTTCTTGTGCTGTGTTTTCTATGTATGGCGTAATACAAAATACATATATACCAAATATATACGTTATCAATTTTAAGTACTCGGACCTCCTTTCTGTGATCAATTTTTATCATCATATATAAAATTGATTTATTATTTAAAAAAGAAGAAAAAGAAAAAGACATTCGTGTTACATCGTGTTATCCATAATTAATTATAAAGATCGACTATATACCCAACTGTGAGCACATCGTATGTATGTAAAAGATACAATGAATTATGCAATAGAATAAACTATATATATATGTGTTTACTACTTTTATTTTTATCTTTATTTTTTTGTAGAAATGTATATAAAAAAAAATGTATATGTATATAATTAAGAAAAACAAAAAAAGAAAAATAATATACATCTTTCTTCTATTCATGACTGATGGTAACATATGTGTAACTTAATTAAGTTGCAATACTCATTGTATAATCTTTTTTTTTTTTTTGTAATTTGTAATCCGTTGCATTTAATGCAAATGAATTTCTATCGATTACAACAAAATTATACGTACATACGAAGGGTCGTCACACGCACGCCATAAACACAAATAACAATTTTTATAACAATATGTAAAAATGATTAATTATTATATATGTATATATATGTATGTATGTATGTATGTATGTATGTATTTATGTATTTATGTATGTGTATGCATTATCCTATTTTATAAAATTTAAACAATTCTGTTTAAAAATGAATTTGATGAAATTCAATATAAATATTCGTCGTTATTTATACAGTTTTTTTGTTTTTTTGTTTTTGTTTTTTTCATATTTATAATTATGAACTTATATTTTATAATCGATAATATATATCTTTTACTTTTAAGGACGGAAACAACAAACATCAATTTTCATTTGTGCACATACATATTAAAATGTGTCTATAATTAAATCTTTATGATTTTAATTTACTATACGTTTGATCATATATTCATATATAGATAAAACTTAACGTTCTTAAACTATTCGGGAATGTTGTATGATTATCCCATAAAAAAAAAGAACATGATCTTAATTAATAATATGCCAATTTTATTTTTATTAATATTTTATTATTCTCTTTTTTTTATATATATGTATGTTTTTTTTTATGAAATAATTTAATTTAACATCAATGATTTGTGTGTTGTTGTGATGTTTGTTCATTTATAAAAAATTTTTCAATCAATTGAACATTTCTTTTTTTTTCTTTCTTTCAATATTTCAATGTTTTTTTTTTTTAACAAAAATATTAAATATATATATAAAAACGAATTAAAGTATAAAACAATTCTTTTTTCTTTTTTTAAATTAAATTAAAAATAGCGAATGAATATTACTATTATGTATAATCTTTTTTTTTTTTTTAAATGATGAGATTAAGATGAAATTAAAAAATTCATTGTAAAAATCAGTCTTAGACAAAATTTAAAAAATATCTCTTGCGATATGAAATTTTGAATGATCTTTTTTTCCTTTTTCTTTTTTAAATTTACTATCATTAAATGATCAATATGTTTTTTATATCATAATAGACATTAAAATACATATATGAGTTTAACATATACTTATAATCAATATATTAATATGGCAAATACTACAATGGCTTATAATTTTTATTAATGTATTTATCAAAGATATTCAAAATGAATATATTTCTATTTTATTAAAAAAGTGATATGTGTATCAGATACATATACATATATATCTGCGGTATAAGAGACAACAAGTACATTATCAATAAGTAAATAAAACATTTATGTCGAATAAATAACAAAAAAACTAATAAATGTATATACACCTACAAAAATTAAGACAATTTTCGTTTCATGTAATTAAAAAAAAAAAAAAAAACAAACAAACAACAAACAAACAAAACTCCAAGAAAAAATCTAAAAACAAATTGAAATAATACAATTGAAAATATTTGGATTTTTTTGTTCAAAAGTAAATGAATGATATATCAAAAAATATACGAAATTTCTAATAAAATTCAACTTTATGCGTTATATAACACATTAAAATGATTCAAATTCAAATATATATATATATATAATTCTTAATCAATAATTCATAATATAAATGGCAATTATATATCATACTGTATTATTCTATGATAATAAATTTATAATGATAGGAGATATATATTATCATTATTATTATTATTAATAATAAAAAAAATATATATATATAACGAAACGTGATTATAGATCGTACTATAATCGATAGAGAAATTATATATTTTTTTTTTTGGAAAGATTATAATATCAATGAATATAATAAAATATATATATATATATTTAAAATTTGTTGTTGTTGTTGTTGTTCTGCTTAAGGTGCGTGGTATGATGCATATAACACTTTTTAATATCTATCGTGGTATATATATATATGATTACCTAAAGTTAAAGTTTGGTATAAAAAAAAACCTTGATAACGTTAACTTGCCTCTAGGTTTGTATTTGAGATGATCCTCAATAAATTGACAAGGGCAACGGGCGGAGACGCAATGACGTGGTGGTACAGAAAGGCCTGCGATGGTTCTATTACGATCCTGTGAGTCTATAACCAAATCAAGTCTGCGACGCACAAAACGACGTGCCCATCGAGAAGCATACCTCAGCAACAGCAACTCCGCCCGTTCCTGCCAACACATACTATCATCATTCGATATTCAGATTGGCATAATTTTTTTTTTTTTTTATTTATTTATTGATATAATAATCTTCCTCTTAAATCCGAAAAAAATACTTTTCTCTTTCTTTCCTTTTCTTTTCTTTTTTTTTTTCAAACGAATATATTATATCATAATAACAATTGTATTCTCTTACAAATTTTAAAACAAATTGATCTCTAATATAATGCTTAATACAATGGACGGTATTTCTCTTTTAATTTTCATATAGAGAGAGATATGAAAACAAAAACAAAAACTAAATTAAAATGAAAAAGTCAATATTCATTCGCTATTTTGTAAAACAAATATTTGTTTAAAACGTTCATTTATCTTGTCTCACATTAAACAAGATATAAATTTATAATGATTAAACAATATCTTATTTAATTTTCAAATAAAATTTTTATAATTATAACTCTTCATTTTTGTGTTATATATATATATATAAAAAAAGTTAGAATAGATTAGATCTATACTATAAAATATACTTATTTTCTTTTCAATTTGTTATCGTGGAAGTTATTTGTTACATTAATTTCTACTAACTTTTATTTGATTTTAACGTTTACTTAATTAAAAAATTACTCCCATTACCAAAATATATATATGTTTATATTATTATATTCTATATTAGTTAATAGATTGTTTGAAGGTAACGCGAATTGTTGCATTGTTCATTGTTTGAATGCTAAACACAACATTTTTTATATCTCAAATGTAATCATTTAGACACAATTACTTTTGTGCGATAACATTATTTCTTTCWTTCTTTCTTTTGTTTATAGAAATATTAAAAATGTTATGTGTATTCGTAAAAAAAAACCCATCAAATCCTAACTTGCTATAGTTGCCTATGTAATATCAAATTCAATATTTAATTGAAATAGAACAAAATAATTACTTGGAAATAAATGACCTCTGTAAATATTTCTTTTGCCATAATGTAATACTAGTTTTTACTGTAAACAGAGGTCATAATACTTTGATATAATCCGTGCATGTTAACGAAGCGCTAAATAAAAGCAAATTATAGAATCGAGAAGAAATCTATGTCGAATAAGTAAAATACGGAATGTGTGTCTTAATGGAATTCTTACTTGTATCGTTAACATAACAAAAGTCTCCCTAATATGCATAAACATATTACCCTACTGTGCATTATTTAACTTTATAAATTTATAAATTGTTATATATATATATATATATAATAACTATTGTATAATAAGTACATGCGGAGAGATAAGTATTTATATTATTCTCATATGCCCCTATCTCTTAAAAAACTACTCCATCTGGGACAAAAATCTCTGCCCTGTACACGTGGCTTGTTACGCAACCATTCTTCAATATATTGACACGGACACAAAGCAGATGCGATATGACGTGGGGAAGAAGGATTTCCACCATCTTCATCGACCGTCCAATCCAGACGTCGACGTAAATAATCCTTTGCCCAACGTTGCACATAACGGCATAATACTTGTTCACTTTTACCCTAGTATTTTATTGTCATTTATAGTACTAAATATTTATATGATATAATAATATTGAAGACTATTCAAATGTATTATTTGTGTATGTGATAAGATTAATGTATATGATCACTTTATCAAAGTTTTGATGATTTTTAATGACAAGAAGTATTTATATATAAAATCGAATTAAAAAAAAATGTCATTTTGTTTACCTGTTTTCGGGAAATTCGTGTTGTCGTACTGCCTTGTATTACAATGTCACCATCATCAATATCCATTCGTTGCTGTAATTCTCTTTTGCGTTGTGCATCATTTTCATTACTTCTAATTATTCTTCCTTCACATTCTTCACGTTCTATCACCTCTTGGAGCTTTTTCTAATCAAATCATTTTTGTATTACTAATATTATAATATATATGTATGTTATATGTATATAAAAATATATATGCTTTTTTTTTTTTTTAACAATCTCATTACTTACAATAATAATGAAAGACACTTACTATACAGTCTGTGGTATCAAAGTATATGAAACATAGATTAACTTTATGGCAGGATATTTTTCCTCTGTCATCCAATCCAAGTAATATCTTATGTCGTAATAAATGCTTGTTAACTTGTGCCATACATTTTTCCAGATTATGATTCAATTTGATTTTGATAAACATGCAAAAGAATATTGCAGCTGCATTTAGGACTAGCCACATGACGCCAAGCCCGAACAATGTAAGGCCAGTTACTCCGGAAAAGAGCAAACCAAGCAATACGACAAACGCAGTAAATATCCAAAGGACAAGTATTCTCTTATAACATACATTATACATATTGAAACGTACATCGTTTACAAGCAACTCCATTATATGCACATAGTCCTCAACAGTAAGCTGCAGTATATATGTGTGTGTATACAAATAACAATTAATATAATTTTTGGTTTTTTTAAATATTTTAATCATTATAGTGCTTGTCATAAGTCTGAGAATGTAGTTTTGTTTTATTGAGAAATAAACACAAGTTTCATGTAAAATAATACGGACTTTTGACAAGTAGTATATCATATGAAAATGAATAAAAAGAAAAAGAAGAAGTTAAAATAATATTTACCGTTAATCCTTGTGCCATTAATTCTTCGGGAACTAATTCGGGTCTAAATTTAGCTGGAGTTATCCAAGGCCATCTGGTATTAACTGGTAAAAGCGTAACAATAGTATCACCATTTGCAAATCCTTGTCTAATGTTTCCAATGGGTGTACTTATAACATTACTAGGATTGTTTCTGCCATTAGATACATCTCGCAAATCCACTGTCTTTAAAGAAGCACTTTTTGGATCTGTTACTTTAACATCGGACGGAACATTAAGATCTGTACTATCGGAAACAATTGATCGGCTTAATCCTGATCTATCTAAATTTATTTGGACGGATTCAGTTGCTATCACAGCACCACTATATTCATTATTAGTTTTATTAATAACTTCTAAATTTTCAACCGTTTTGCCAATTTTATCAACGTTTATTGTTACGGATTCTGGCTTTATCACCGCTGGAGTATTTCTTTGAACTTTATTTACATATTTTGATTCATCTTTAGATACTGTCTCGCTTGGTTCAACTTCCTCCTCAAATTGGACCCAACTTTTAGTTTTGGAAGTGATATCGGAAGGACTCACTTCCGATGCATGATCAGTCATATCTTGGGAACTCATGTTTGTTGTTTTGTAAAGTGATCGAATTTAATTAGAATAATATTTCTTTCATTCAACTTCTTGTTAATTTTATTTTTAGAATTGTTCGTATATTTCCCAGGTTTTTCACAATATAATACTCTTCTTTTAATCTGCAAATAAGAGATCCAATTAAACAATATCAATAACAATATATTATACAAGTTTTAAACAAAATAATTGACTATTTCAAATAAAAATTAATGGAATAAAAAAGAAAAAAAAACAATAGAACAAATATTGATACCATTAACTGTTTAAAGTTTTGTGTCTTTAGTATGAAAAGAGTTAAGAAGAAGAAAAAAATAATTAAAAAAGAAAAAGAAGTAACAAATATACAAGAAAATATGAAAGCAGTATAATTTCCAGGTATTAGGAATCGACATATGTTTGAAGAATATTTCCTTTTTTATTTTTTTTCTTCCTTTTTTTAGCCACCACCCCCCCTCCACCATCTTTCAAAAGTAACGACACAACAAGTATTAATTATCAATTACAAAAAAAACAAATGATCTATAATTATCTATCAAACGTATATATATATATGCGCATACTCATGCATATATATCATTGACATTCATATGTCAGATATAAAATCGTACGTTAAAAAATAATACACACGATAGTGAGAAGAGAATGAACACATTTGTACGCTTCTGCATTATACGAATTCCTTTTAGACATGTTTTTTTTTTTTCTAAATTAATTATCGTTAACATTCCTTATACTATTAATTGCTAATTAGTCGAATAATTAATAATGAATGAAGTTTAAAAGGATTGGTTTGATTTTTTGTAAACGTACCTGCTGCGATACAACCTGTCTCATGACCGCGAGGTGAAAAAGTACGTAATGTACGACATCAAGGTATATGACATGGAGGATGAGGTGAGGCCAGGGAGGGGAATAAATAAAGGACACAATACGTAAGCACACGACCTCATGTTCCCCACTTCATCCCTTCTCCCTCCTCTTTCCAATGATGTACATATCTCTCTGTCTCTGTCTGTCTGTCTCTCTCTCTCTCTCTCTTTTACTCACATTCATTCATTCTTTCTCTTTTCCTCTTATTATTTTCTTCTATATAATTATTCTCCCATCAAACTAGGTAACACACGATTACTAATTTGTAATGCATACGAAATTACTTCTTTCCGACTATTCTTATCATTCCTATCCTCTTTTTTTTTTTTTTTAACATATATACATATGTATGTATATATATATGTACAATTCTTTTAAATTGTTTTAATTTTAAATTCTCATTATTTTCGCATTTATTTTCTATTTATATAACATTATTGATAAACAAGTAATGAGATTTAAATTGTTTTGATCAATCATAGATAAGGCTCTTTTCTATTGGTTAATTGATTAACAGATCATTTTAAATTCATTAATAAAAATATGATATAGATAGGCATTATTTATGATTTTTTATTATTATTATTATTATTATTATTATTATTATTACGTTGATAAGAAAAAGAAATCTTATAGTATACTGATAAAAGATTATTATCTTCATATGAATAATTTAAATACCATGTATTTCTAAACTGATTAAATCGTATAATCTAACACTTATCTCGCGCTATTGTGCGTGACTCATAATAACCTAGTTTTATTGACCAAAATTTTGAATGAGATTTGCATATTTTTGTTTTTATAACCTAAAAATTATCTATTTTTGTATTAATAAGAATTGTTATGTAATACTTGACAATTGTTGATTATTTTTTATAAAGCGATTGTTATTTATTTTAAAGTAAAATTATTTTTAAATAGTAAGAAATCGTGAACATACAAAATAAATATAAATAATAACATTTATTAATTTAATTTGATTAAAGTTTGCCTATATTTATTTAATTACATGTTATTTATATTAAAAATATTTGTTAATAATTATTTAAATCATGCAGAATAAGCAAATTTTATTTGTCCAAATTTAAATAAAATTTGTCCAAATGAACCAATAACGTGAGAGTAAATTACTTACCATACTGCGCATGCGCAATATCTGTATGATTTGTATGTGCGCATTAACCGAGTAAAATGATTTATTAAAACTGTATAATATATTGTATTTATATATTATTATTTATTTATAAAATTGTATTTAATATAGTAATAGTTTATACTTGCTTGCAATAAATATTTCGACAGGAAAATACGTAAATATAAAAAAAAAAAAATCTTATAAATAAAAATGTTTACATAATTAATAATAAAATATCATTGAAGAGTTTGTTAATAAAATTAATTAATAAATTAATACAAATAATCAGTTGTCTTCGATATTATATTAATATTTCTATACTTCTTAGTGAATATTATTGATTGTGTGGAAAACAAAAATTAAATTTAAAATATAAACAGAGGTCTTTTTCATAATTGTAATAGAAAAATAAAGCATAACATTAATGATGTATTGTAGAAAAATGATATTTAATGCATCACGGATAGTTGGAAAATATATAAAAATAAATAAACATTTTAAAACTAATATACCAATAATTTATTATAGTTTATCTATCAATAATAATTACAAGTATTTATACAAATCAAATAATAATGATGATAATAATAATAAGAGAAATGGTAACACAACTCATTATCGTTTCCTTTTGAGCGGTCTGTTTTATTGGATGCTTAACTTTAATAATAATAACGATGAAGAAGTTCCTGAACTTATTATGACTATTAAACGTTCGATATTAGCTATGCAGGTTGCGTATAATAAAATTCTATAGATGTACATGTATAGAATTACATTTCTATACATGTACAACGATATACATGTAACATCAGTGTGTGCATTATATTTATATAATAGAATTTATATTATTTTTTCTAGAGACAAGAATATAACAAAGCTGAACAGATGTTACATGTCGGTTTGAGAGAAGCTCAGGTTCTACAAGATGAAAATGCTATCACTTATATTTATGATTTGCTGGCTAATGTCGCATTTGAGACGGGACAATTTAGAAAAGCTGAAGATTTATTCCTCTTGGTTATAAAAAGATTATTTGCCCAAGGGATAAGTATGGAAGATGTGAAAGTCTTACATATTAGTTTAAAGTTAGCAAATATATATGAACATACAGGAGACAAAGAGTAAGCTTATTTCTCTTCTCGATTCAATTAAAAGAATATTCCAATTTTATTATATGACGAATGAAATATTTTCTTTATAGAAAAGCAGAAAGTGGTTATCAATACTGTGTAGAAAACATACCAATTCTTTTGGATAAAGATCCTGAAAATAAAGATATATTAATATTGTTAGCTATGACTTACGATTGGTATGCAAAAATGCTTGAATCTTTGGGAAGATACGCAGACGCTTATAAGTATCTTGAACAATCTTATGACATATGCGTTAAAGTTCATGGCAAATTTCACGAGCAAACAGTTTATTTACTTAATACATTAGGAGTCGTAAGTTATCTAATGCAAGACTATGATAAGTCAATTGAATATTTAACTACTGCTATAGAAATAGGTAAATTATTATACATTCAAGTAGTTTTTATCTCTTAATCATTTTAATTAAAGAAACATAATATTATATTAATTTAATATTTCTAGGAAGAGCTTTGCCAGATATGGTTTCTTTAGGTTTAATTCATGTCAATTTAGGGGATGCTTATTTAAAAAAAGGTTTATATGCCGAAGCTAAGAAAGCTTGCACTAATGGTCGAATAATAGCTAAAAGTAAAGAGGATAATGAATGTTTAGCGGAAGCTAATATATGTTTAGAAAATATTAAAAAAGTAATGTGATTTTAATGAGTATTATTTTAAAAATAAATAAAATATTTAGATGTCATTAATAAAATATTAAAATAGAATTTGTGAAAGGAAGTGTGATTATAAATAATGAAAAATATAAAACAATTTTTACGTTTATCCAAGAAGAACTTTAATTCTGTTAATGTTTGATTAAATGTTCTATTCTCTATTCTACTTTATTTATTTTTTTTCTTTCCTAACCGTAATATTTATCATTACACTTACTTTTAATAATTATTATAATATAATCTAAAATATGAGGGAGGAAAAAAAGTAACTTTCGAATTACCTTAATTATTCCTCAATCACAAAAAGAGAGTAGAACGGAAATTAAAGTAAAATATTTGTTCTAGTTTACAATTTTAATTTCCGTTATTTGTATATGTTTAAATATAATTATAACGCAAACAAAATTTTATTTATTTCTCGTGTAATATTTAATAATATATATATATATATATTTTTATATGTACTTGTTTATATATATATATATATCTAATTTAAATATTTAAGGTACAATTCTTTCTTTAATCGAACCATTCTACAAATCTCTTCAATTTATCAATATTACTTAATCTACCAATGTAGTTAATTAATATATAAAAGTATCTGAATACGCATCATACAATTAATTCTTCATTCTGTTTATTGCATGCAATTCGGGAGGTATATATAATTTATATTTGTAAGGATTGCAAATGATAAAATGACGGAATGAAAAATTTCAATACAAAATGTTAATTATAATACGTTACACAGATGTCTATTTTTAAATACAATATATTACAGAGAAACACACAGTTATAATTTATTGTTATTAATATTATATCTATCATATTATAGTACTCTTAAAATTATTTTTATTATTTAATATTATCATTAATCATTATCATTATTATTATCAATATTATTATTAATAATATTATTTTATTATTATTATTATTATTATTACTATCATTATTAATATTATTTTTTATTTTTATTATTATTATTTTTATTATTATTATTATTATTATTATTATTATTGTTGTTCTTGTTGTTTTTGTAGCTGTTAACGTATGCTGACCTTAATAAATTGAATATGTAAGGTAGCATAAAGAAAATATGTAACGGGAGACTAATGTTGCTGTATGTTTTATAAAGACAGCTTCATCATCAATTATTATATTAATCTCCAGTATCTGTGCAACAGTAACTGTGATCTCGATAATAAATAGTTAACATAGGGATAAATATTACGCTATCGCGGCAGTGTGCTTCCTGGATTTTGGGTAAGGGGCATTTATCCTCTAATTATCAGGATTATTATACCAACTAATATTCTACAGATAGACCCCTTTCCGCTAACCCAAATTGTTGTATTATCATCATCATTATCATCATCATCATCATCATCATCTACTTACTGAAAATCGTATCAATAAGCAGCATGTTGTATATGTAAAATTATTGTTTTAGATGAAAAGTGGTGACATGTTTAGTTTGTTTAGTTTAATAACGCGAGAGCCTACGTTTTTTTTCTTTTTTCTTTTGTTTTTTTTTTGACTTCAGTTAATAATTATTTTATTCTATTTTTCTATCTATCTTTCTCTGGTTTTTTTTTCTTTCTTTCTTTCTTTTAAACAGGTGTGTCAAAATGGTAAAGTGATAAATGCTACAACAAAATTTAACGTGTAATACATACGAGCAAAACTATCTAAAAAGATTGAGTACAAAAATTGCTCAGCAGTAGAAATGTATATCTCGATTTACACTTCAAACAAATACTTTGGCAAGAGCGTCAGCTCCTGCGCTTGCAATAAATGGTCTTGACGGGTGGAACGCAACGTCTAAAATACTTTCATCAAATTTCTTCCGATGCGCCGTTATTTCTTGAACACAAGTTTTATTATCCATATTCCATAATCTTATACTGCAATCATGACCTAAAGGAAAAATATAATCATGAAAATAATAATCATTTTACGTATCCTCCTCACACACAAATGTTGTATACTTGTATCAAAAACATAATGAAAGTTAATGACTCACTTCCTGAAAGTAAATAAAGACCATGGGGATCCACAGCAAGACTAGTAACAGCATCTAAATGTGCAACCATAGCATGAGCAAGAGTTGCCGAACGATGATCATAAAATCGAATATGTCGATCTTCGTGTGCTGCAACAACTAATGGTAAAGTTGGATGAGCCACGACACGATTTACACCTTTAGTTTCATTGGCTTCTAGTCGAGCTATAACAGCGTCAGTCTCTGAATCAAACAATACACAAGCCCCTTCATATGCCACAACTAATTTGTGCGGTTCGTCTCTTATAAAATCAACAGATGTTGGTATTCCATCTGTAAATAATCAGACAATTATAAATACATTGAAGTCATTAATAAAAAAATAAATGAATATAGGGTATATTATATTATATTAAAATATTATTTAAATAACGGACCTTGTTCAGAAGTATAAGTATTAAGAAGTGGTACTTTGCTCTGAGGACTCCACAGTTTCACTGTTCCATCAGCACTGATGGATAACAATTGTGAACGAGGCTGATACATAGCTAAGCCGCAGATAGCATCGGTGTGTCCAGTTAAAGTTTGGCTAAGGACACTTGGATCATACGAATCATATGGATCTATATTTGCAGATGGAAGTGTCCAACAATGAATCATACCATCTAAACCACCACTGTAACAACGACTTCCAGTACTGTCCATAGCTAAACAGAGAACTGGACCTGTATGGGATCTGAAGGTATATAATGGCTCTACGTCTAGTGAAGCTGACCTATAAATAATTAATGAATTATCATTATATGTAATATTATTTTAAAAAAGAATGTTTTTATCATTAGAATTTATTTATATATACTATGATTTATTGAATATATTAATGACATACTTTTTGGCTGGTACAGTTTTGTGTAAATTCCATAATTTTAATGTATGGTCGTCACTTGCAGTTATAAGGACAGGATCTGTAGGATGGAAGACAAGTGCTCTGACAGCATCGAAGTGAGAACGTAATGTATACTTTGCATTCCATGTCTTTCGAAATGTTTCTTTTGTTGTTGTTACCATCTGAATAGAAAAAAGAAAAGAAAAAAAAAACAATTTGTAATAATAATACAAGTAATGAAATTAATTCTATCATTACATAATCTAATTGATCACATTAAAATATGTGAACTTACATATGAATCCTTCCTCTATAACTTTTGATAATTCAAATATCTTACTTATGCAATAAATATAACAATTTCAAAAAAGTTCATGTGAAATAATTAAATAAATATCTATTTTAGTAACTTACGTCATATGATACTTCCGCTTCATTGTTTACACATAATTGCTCTAATTCTCCCAATTCCAATGCGGAATCACCTTCTTCAGTGGGACGCCTTGGATCTGTTTGCAAACTTCTAGGTAATGCATCTGTATAATATATTTATATATAGGATAAAAAGTAGAAATATTTTTGTTTATTATATAATAAGAAATATAATGAATGAAAATAATACTAACTCCAGCCTGGTGGCGGCGTTTCTTCAGTTTGGGTAGATAGTAGATTCAGTTGATTTAATACTTCTTCTGCTTCAGCATCTACATCTTCTGTTATAACAAATGATGCCTGAAAATTCACACATTCAATTTTTATAATACTCATTTATAACATTTTCTTATTAAAGTCAAATATATTTGCTATAAAGAAAGATTAAACGAAAAATAATAAATAGTAATAATTTGATATTACCTTATTTGACTTAGATTCTATATTTGTGTCATACATTTCATCTTCTACATCTCCCTCACCCTCTTCCATATCCATATCGGTTTGTGGTAAAAATTCGAAACTTGCCATAACAGCTGCTTCTGTATCTAATATCATTGCTTCTGCTATTGAAGAGGGTTGTTGCTGCAATTTCCATAAAAAAGAAAACAAAAAAAGAAAAAAAAATCAATTAACATTAATCAGAAAAATTCGTGAAAACAAATGTCTATAAATTATCCAGAATAACAAGAAAATGTTGCATAAAAGAAGACGTTTAATAGAAAAAGAAAAAAAAAAAATTAAAAACAAAATAAAAGTTGTATTTTAAAGATATAAACTATATAATATAAATATTATATAAATACGATGCACAACAATACCTGATGGAATAATAATTTGGGAAGAAGAGTGTGCGAGTGTTAACACATATAATGTTATTTACCTCTACCTTTTTTCCAGGAGTTGTTCTTCGCGTATTATTTTTTGCTTTAACAGATGACTCATTTCCATTTAGAGCTGGTGTGTTCATATCATCGGAGTCCGTGTTATTATTTAAACCAAGAAGAGATCTCACTCTGTTTGATCTTACGTCTATTATTGTTTCGGTATAACCAATTTCTTGTAAATATCTGTAATTATTATCAATTGATGATAAATATTTGATTTCTTCTATACAATATAATATATTGTTTTCGATACTCATATATAATTTTTTCAAATGAATACTTGAAACTTACTGCCTCAATAATTGACGACCCTGTTTCCAGCTAATGTTACTAACAGACGTAAACGGTGCTTCCCCATCACCACCACCACCACCAGTTCCTTCTCTACTAGCACCAGTACTACCCTCTTCGTATAGAGGTGGTTCGATGACCACGTCAGCTCCATATTTTAATTTGTGATACCTTGCTCTAAATATATAAAATTATTTCTTCTTTTTTTTTTTTTAACATAAATGTATAGAATATCAATTCGTTAGGAAAATATATTGAACATTTTTATTAACTCCTTGCACTATAATAACATGTGATATTTATGATACACTTTATCACATATAAATACAAAAAAAGAAAAATACGAGTTTTATTTCTGGCGAATTTTATGGGTCAATTATAAAAAGTACAATTTTTTATGTAAACAAGAGTGTGTAAATTATAGTGCAAGGAGTTAAAAAAAAAAACAAAAAAAAATTAGATATTTTCAAAACTTACATTTAACATACTTAAATACGATTAACTTACCGCTCTTGTTTTAGTGCATA